CGGAGTCACCAGTTTGATTAATTCAACAGGATTAAGCTTTCTTAGTACTTGGCTACCATGGTGAGGGAGGGGCAGGGGGGAAATTCTGTCCTACCCCAGCACTTGTGCTGCAAGTAATGGCCTACAAATAATCTTATTATGGTCTGAAAATAGTACCTGCATTCCGGTTTCTCAACAAAGTCATTTCAGTTCTGTTCCTTCTACCAGCGGTTAGTCACCCTCTTTATTCCTCTCTCTCCGTAATTTCCCTGATAGAACCAGTCAGCGTGATTTGGCTGGCTGGATCCTCTATGGATGTAGGAATACTTCTTTGAAACCAAGTTCATTCCATTTTGCAGACCAGTTTCCTTTCATTGTCTTCCGAGACTCCTAGCTCTGCTCCTCCGCTCCGAAAGCGGATGCTGGCAGCACTGGAGACGTGCAGCGGTCACGAGACAGATTTGAGAGGCTTTTGGAAACGTGGTTGACTTTCTGGCAGACAGGACAGATCCATGTTGTCTAAGCACTGATGTGTTTTTTTTGCCCCTGTACTCTGTCGTGCTGGGGCAGGTGCCAAGATCTCAGCAGCCCAGGATATATCAATGGGAAATTGGTTAATTTATTGGGAAAGCGTTATTTCAGTTTCCGTGCCTGAGAATAGTGAGTACGGCAGAGTGACGAAGACGGTTTACCCGGAATGGGGGATGCGAGCTTGAAGTGGATTGTCCACTTCTTTGGCAGCGGAAGGGGCAGCCACCGCGCGCAAACCGCTTCTTCCGGAGACAGATTTCATCAAGGCCGATGTCAGGACTTGGCTGAAGAACGGCACGACAGCTGCAAAACCGTGAGCCTAACACACGTCGGCCGTTTTCCAGTTTCAGCACACCGACTGCCGGAGGCGGTCAGGCCACCCGATTGCGAGACATGTCTTGTGCTGCCTGTGAGGAAGGCGAACACGTTGCAGCATCCTCCTTGGGTGGGGTGGGAATGGGGAGGCCATGCTCACGGCCTAGAGGGAAAGGCCAGGTCACAGGAGCTCTAGGCACTTTGCCGAAGAAAAATTACCCAAGTCATTCATTTAAAGTGGTCAGAAAGCTGTGAAAATTCCAACGTGGTTCGGCAAGAAGGAAAAGGTTAAGGGGGAGGGAAGTTCACCTTGAAAGCATTGTAACCTCAGTTTTAAAATCCTTTAAGTTTGGATTCTCTTTGTCATGCCTGTTGTTCCAATTAAATGGGATTAAGCAGTTTTACCATACAAATGAATAAAGTCTAGAGTTGTTATCACAAGAAATTTTTTTAATATGGTTTGTGACAAGCAATATCAAAGTTATCGACTCTCAAGCTTCATGTTCGGAAACCAGACAACTCTCAGCAACAAAAAGAAGTTGTGCACTGATAAACATAGGAGGCATATTGTATTTTTTAATTAAATATGAAAACATGAGCTGTGTACATTATTTTTTTTCCCTAGAAAACACAGCAATTTCAAAAGTTTATCATAAAATATTTTCATGAAATGAGTGAACCAGCAAACACATGCACTTGTGTGCCTTCCCCCCTCCCAAGATACACGTGATGAAGAGACACACGCAAACGTAGAAGTTAACAGAACGAGTGGCGTTTCGTTGTTGGTTGGTTCTTTTCAGCAAGGATGGAATGTAACATTGTGCTCGACTCTCCATGTCACAACAAAAAATATTTGGTGCAATATTTTAACATTTTCTTTTTAAGTTTTCAATCTGGTGGAGAAAAATACCTTTTTCTATAATAAAATATGTCTGTTCTTTTTAAAACGTAACTTTTTTGCACAAAATAATTTTGTAAACTGTCATTTCAAGGGCAAGGTAGGCGGTGCCGTGTCAATGTCCTCCCCCCCACCCCCCCACTTAAAAACGTGATCTGTTATCTGAAGCAAAACAGGGAAACACAAAAAAAGAGCGGAGCAGAGGCTGCTTTGCAAAGAGAAAGAAGGGCGTGTCGGACGGGGGAGAGGGGAGGGAGCGTGTGGTGGGACAGAGAAAAGTTAAAGGTCACTTTCGCCATAGAGCGCCGTGGAGAAGGACATGTAGTCCAGAGCGCCGGGTACAGCATCGCGGCCGGTGTAGGGTGCCATTCGGGCAATGCAGTACTCAGCCTGATCCGGAGGCAGCTCCCGCCGCAGTTCATCCACAGTGATGTAGTTCTGCAATGAGTACAAACAAGAAGGCAATCCTTACTTTGAGCGACAGGACCCCGACGACGAGTCTGCGCGCCCCACACGTGGAGCTCCCCGCGTGTCCGCCTGGGAAGGAAATGCAGTCACTCGCCCTCCCATCTGCCCCCGAAAACAGGTTTTTACAGTGGAGAGAAAGATGGTTTTTGCGGGAGAGATGCTGGCACACCTGAAGAAAAGACCCGGAGGTAAGGTGTTAGTGTCAGACTGTGCCTTCCCATTGACAGCGAACATCAAAAACCTGCTGAAAGCAAATGGGAGGAAGCAGGAATTTCACTTGGATCCTGTCCCTCACCGGCAGGAGGTAACAGCTGCTTGGGAGCTGCCGTTGCCTCAGCTCAGGGCAAGGAAGGGAGCCATCCCCGCTGGCTCTGGCTAGTGGCACCGATGCAGAGAGCAGACACGCAAACACCCTGTATCGCTCCCGCAGTCCCCCCCAGCGAGCCTTGCCTTTCACAGCAGACATTTTTAAGGAGCGGAACTTCCGTAAATTCAGCTTCCACAGGCACCTCAGCTTCTCCCCACGCAGCAGGTAACAGCAGCTGCCTGTTTGCTAACCAGCGTGTTGGCTTTAGCTGACTGACTCATGGGCATTTGCAGTCGCCTGAATAACGGTTCAGGTTTCACACCATCTCTCTCTCTCTCTCTCTCCTGTGACTTTTTATGCTTGTTTTTCCCTCTCCCCTTGCCTTTCAGTTTAATGACTGGAGTGAGTATGAGGTACTTTTCTTCATAATGATATACTGTCTGATTCACGTTACAGTCACTAGAGCATTCTAAACACTGACAAGTATATTTAATGTACAGTACAGAGTAAACCAGTCAGTCAGTAATACTGTGTCCAAGAGCACCTATGTATTCAGTGATTAGCTTATCTGACTAACGTGGAATTTTCAGGCCTTGAAAGACAATAGGATTGGCTTCAGCCAGGCAGATGCCTGAAGGATGGACGTTATGGCTTTCTACCTTACAGATTATGAAAGGTTTATTAGTCAAACACGGCAACCGCTACTGGATTTAAGGGTAACTCATTCCAACCGGTGAAACGGTATCCCAGTTCCCAGTGGGAGGAATCAAATCATTAGCAACTGTAGAGACACATGAATCTCACATTTGTCCGATTACATAAAAGACCAGCGGCCACTGTTATGTAAGAAAAATAAGATTACTTTTTTTTCAGCTGGTTTCGCTGATGATGCAAATTTAGAAAGTTAAGAAAACTAATACTTTCAGCATCATCCCGTCCATTTTTCTACTTTCACCCAGTGTCTACGATTAAAAGACGCTCCTCCGGCGGACAGAGCGTATCCTCAGCGAAAATCCACTCTCGATTGTGTAACAACTGACAGTGACGCAGGTACGTCTGAGAAAGACCAAGTTTACAGCTGCCAGTAATTAATAGTTTTCCAAGACTAATCAAGAACCATCTGTTGAACTTGTTTGTACATTTTAAAATAACAAATCACAACCAAACCCTTAATTAAATGTTTAAAGCAAGAGTGGGCAGCAGAATTCTGACTGACAGCTGAACAAGACTTTACAGTGCCTTGGCAGGCTGCTCATTAACACACACTTGAGCCTCGCACAGCGTTCCAGTGAAAACACCCTCCCCACGCCAGAGCGTGCCTCCCTCGGCACCTTCTCTCGGAGAAAAGAGACAAGAGAGGGGAGCAGAAGCGATGCAGGTGCAGGAGAGGAAGGTGTGCAGCCTCACCTTATCTCCTGCCAGGATCTTGAAGGAAGCCATAACCTGGTCAGCAGTGTCTGTATCCGCTGTTTCCCGGGACATGAAGTCGATGAAGGCCTGGAACGTCACCACGCCCAAGCGGTTAGGGTCGACGATGCTCATGATGCGGGCAAACTCTGCCTCTCCCTGGAGAACGAGAGAGTCATGTCAGCCTGGACATTTGGGCATTTATGGAAGCGAGGAGAAACTGTTCAGCAGCAGAAGTCACAGCTAGAAAAACAAAGCCAAATAGAAACAACTTCTGTTTGTTTTGGGTTTTTTAACCAGAATATTCTTTTTTAGCTTTCTGTTACGTACAAACACTTCCCACTCGTTTGTCCTTTGGAATAAAATACTCCCTAGGATAACATCCAGCTCCATCTAGCTCTAGGACAATGCTCCTATCAGGGAACAATATCACACAGACTTCAGGAGAAGACGCAAGTTCCTCTGCAATACATAGACGGGTTTGGGTTGGAAGGGACCTTAAACACCATCTAGTTCCAACCCCCCTGCCATGGGCAGGGACACCTTCCACTAGACCAGGTTGCTCAAAGCCTCGTCCTGCCTGGCCTTGTCGTGCTAGATGTCTTTCTAGACATCCTTGTCT